TTTCTGAAACTTAGAGGAAATTGAAGTGGATTTCCATAACTAGGTTGCTTAAGGTTCAAAATGTTATCATGTTGATGAATCAGAAATGCCAATTCATACATGAAATTCATTGAGGAAGAGACAAAAAAATTATCCTAGGCATCAGCTCATACAAAGGCCTGGAGTTATAAAAATCATAGTGTAGTTGGAAAAATTGCAAATGGTTTACCACTATTCAATTTTGAAAATTATTTTTTAAAAGATTGCAGAAAAAGCAGTCTGGTAGCTAAACCTCAAATCATTAAGAATGTCATAGAATACACAGTGGAACTTGCAGCCTTTTAGTTTATGGAAATATTTGAAGGTTTTAAGATTTTAATAGTGTGGTTCCTATTTATAAGCTACAAAGCTTGTTCCATCAGCTGTGTAGTGTGTGATTTAGATATAAGTGGATGCTTCCTTTTAGAGGTTGTGATGATAGGAGAGATAGAACCTGGAGAGAATATAGTGTATTCCTAAAATTAAGGGTCCATGTTGGGGCTATTTGACATCTGGTAGGACTAGGAGAACTTCAAATGGCAGAAAATAGTTTCTGCTCCTTATTCTGCACCTGTGGTTAAGCTTTCCTAGCCTAAAGTCTTTCTGGCCAAATGATCCAAGGTCAGTATCTACTTATCCCTGAGTTTGACTTCCTGGCCAGCCTACAGAATTCTTCAAACAAGCTAATTCCATCATATCCTATGGGGGCTTCGAATCACCTCACTTTTCCTGGTGTAATAAAGCCTGCACCCTACAGTTCCCCATTGTTCACTCTGTTCCCAGGTGAGACCTCCTTGTAGATTTGCAGGGCTTGCACTGCTTCCCCCACCTGTGAGTGTGTGTGACTCTACTGTGTGTGTGACTCGCAAACTACCGCTGTCATCTACCCAGTGTTGGATGTTGCATATCCATCCATCTCTTACAATCTTAGAGTAGGAATCCTTCCCGTGGCAGTAGAATGAATAGGAAGAGCACAAAACAAGTGGATATTAAAAGTAGAAGTTACAGCCTTGCTGCATAAAATGATGGCCTTTAACTACGTGTTGCTATTGAACACTTAAAAGGTGGCATGTCAAATAGTCATGTGCTACATGGGTAAAATGCCAAATAGATTTGAAAGACTTGACATGAACACAAGATTATAAGTTCTTCAATAATAATTTTATTATTTTTTTCTCTTTTGATATAATATTTTGGATATATTATATACAATATTACAATTAATTTCATCTTTCTGTAATATTCTGAAGTGGCTACTGCAAGCTTAAATTACAAATAAGGCTTCCATTTGTGACTTGCATTTTATTTCTATTGGGTCATTTGGTATAGTGAAAGGTAGCTAGAAAAAGTATAACTTGGTCATGTGGAAAAGAGAAAAAGTAAAAGCCCGTCCACTTAATTGTGGGCATTAAGAAGAAAAGAGGATTAGGATGAGCAGAAGCTATGCTTTTATTCTTGCATGTGTTCAACTGAAATGTTAGAAACATATTTAGATAGATTCGAATAGGGGAGTCATAGGTTGAAATTTATGGATAAGTGTAGGATGGGAGGTACATATTCAGAATCATTAATTTTGACATCTAAAGCCATTAATAAAGATTTGAGAATAGGATTATAGAACAAAATTATGTTAACACTATATATCAGGGTTTGGCAAATGATTAAGTTATTTGGACTGCTTTACACATTTTCAACACAACTCCATGAACTTTTGTTGAATACCTACTATGTGCCAGGATTCAGTAATATATAAAACTTTAAAAATAAAAATAAAAATTTTGGGATGGAAATCAATTATTTATATACAAATTTAATTTCAGGCATGAAAATATATATTTTTCAAGGGAAAATAACTATGTGTGTTTGATATTAGCAAATATGGACTGTATATTTAAATACAATAAAAGATTTTCATTTATAGAAAGATCTTATTATAAGAACTAAAATTAAATATAAAATCTTGAAGAGAATCTAAAGAAATTTTCTTGTAATTTTTAAGTATCAAGAGATTCATTCTTTATCAGTTATGTCTCCATTAGATATATAAATTTCTATTAAATTTTGCCTCCATATTTTCATGTATACCTCCGTTAAATTTTTCATTTGCTTGAGAAATTTGGAGATGTGGAAAATCTGACATTTTTTATAGACTATCTGTTGGGTTGCAAAGGAATTGAAGACATAAATAGTAGGTGGAAAGAGTATAGTCTAGTGAATATATAACAGAAGTAGTTAAGGAAACAGGATAGGGATTGAGATGGAGCCACTTTGATGAAATTTTGTCATCAGAAAAAAAGTAGGGAGTGTACAAAATTTACTTTTAGATTATATACATATATGTATGATATATATTATATATACTATTAAAGGAAGTAGAAAAAGCATACCTGTTTGATGAAAGATAGAGATGTTTGTTATTTATACATTATATTTTTTAGGACAATGATATTGGCATTGTACTGTGTCATTTAAATATATTCAAATTTAAAGGCTACAATAACCCAGGAATAACTACTATTTCTGTTTTGTAGAAAAAGAAACTGCAGCTCAGGAAAGTTCCACAAATTGTCCAAGGCCACATAGCTAATGAGTAAGAGAACCAGGGTGAGGACTCAGATTTTGAAAGTCCAGTTTCAAGTCTAGGTTACTTATTTACTCTTGCATTTCAGGGGATACGTACATAGTGAACAAAGGAAAGGAAAAGCAAGCAACTATTAATTAAAGTCCTGGATTTCAGAAGAGAAAAATCATTCCTCTAATGGCCCATACCAGCAGTAGTATTCACTCTGAAATGATAAACAATGATATGCTCTGCATAAACTACATCAGTGTTTTTAACAATTTAAATTTTAGTCAATACAAAGTTTTCTCCCTGCTTTTTCCAACCAACTCACTAGCTGACACTGAAAATACAATTTGGGTAGTCAAAAATTAGTTTAAAAATTTCAGACACAACATATATGCATTCACATATATGCATAACATGTATTAAAAATACATATATATTCATGGATAAACTGTGTTTTTACATTGAGGAAAAAATCCTGTTCACAAGGTTTTGAAATCATTAGCCAGAATTATTTTTGCGGTACCTCCATCAAGCATCTGATTAAGGTTAGCCACCACAAACAGATCCTTTAAGATATTATTGTAATATAAATATTTCATATTGTCTGTAATTAAAAATAAATCAATTCACATAGTAAAGAGGTTAGATCAAACAATGAAATAGAGAAAAACTACATGAATTAAATGCAAGATGGGTTTATTAAATTCAAATAAAATCTTTTATTAGACTAAAAGCTTTTTTTTTTAGAAAAAAATACAGTGATAGAAAAAGTAAAAAAAATTGTCTTACTAGTATTCCTTTTTGTACATTTAATTCTCTTTGGATCAATGTGAAATGCAACCAAATTTTAATTTTGGATGACATTTCATATATACATTTTAGGGACTACTATTTGACAAGAATGTATAATATTTTGATGAGGACTTGCATCAAATCTTTTATAGCCTTTATCAATGTGGAGTAATCAATAATTCTATATGTGAGTTGGGAAGTTAGGGTACAGAAAATAAGGATACAAGACAAAAAATTGTTTAAAAAAGATTTAGGAAGTATTTAAAAATTTTAAAATGTGATGTTTTTTAAGGTCATAGAAGACAATTAAATTTGAACATTAAATAATTACATATAGTAATCTTAGTCAATACTTCTGAAGTGGGTAAAAGTTGAAAAATTCTTCTTCTTTTTCTCCTCCTCCTTCCTACCCTCTCATCTTACTCCTTTCTCTGTTTTATTTTGTAATCCTGGGGATGGAACTCATGTCCCCATGCTTTTTATTTATTTACTTTTTTTTTTTTTTTTTTTGGTTTGTGACAAGGTCTTGTTAAACTGCTCAGGCTGTCCTTAGACTTGAAATGTTCCAGCCTCAGTTTCTGGAATAGCTAAGATTACAGATGTGTGCCACCAATGCTGCCTTATCCTTTTCTCTTTTCTCCTCTCCTCTCCTCTCCTTTCTTATCCTTTCTTTTTTTTCCCACACAAGGTTTTTCTTTGTTGCCTGGGATGGCCTGCCCTCAACTCGTGGTCTCAAGATATCCTCCTCAGTCTCCCAAGTCACTGGAACTACAGGTGCACTCCTTTGCAACTGGTACAAAATATTTAAAAACCCGATATTTTTCCTGATTTATTATGGTGCAGAGTCTTTTCATCCAGGGTCTGTCCAAGTTGTTTTTTGTGTGATGAACTTATATAGTTTAATTTTTTTTGTCTTCATTATCACACTATAATAAGGAAAATACACATGTTGATTGAAATAACTAGGGGAGAAAAGAGGAGTAATTTTGGGGAAAGTTTACTCTCAGATATTTGTAACTCAATCAGTGATAGAGAGAAAAATGAGAAAATGCAAAAAATGAAAATGAGTTACATTAATTATTAAGACTATGATAATCAGTTATATTAGTTTTACCAGATATGCAAAGTATCTCCTCTACATTCTATATATATTTATTTTTTCTCGGTTGGTCAAAAATGTCAATCTTCATTTTAAGAAGCAAATAGAAAATAAACTAAAGGAAACCAGTAAACAAATCAACCAAAGGTTAGAGCTCTAAACACAGGACTCCTATTAGTTTAAGTGTGGTTCCTGGAGTACCAGGATCACATTCTAACCTAAGTAACACCACTGACTATTTGAGCCCCAAGTTAACAAAATAATCATGACAATTAACTGATTCCCAAGAAAAATATTACATTTCCTGAAAAGGTCATATATTTGCTAAGAAAACAATTTTAGGAAAATAAACAAAAGTCATAATGATGTATAAATTCAATGATAGGTTTTCAAATAAAAAATGAAAAATCCTTGATTTTCTTTTAGAATACCCAGTTTGATTTGCCTGCCTAAAACAACAACAAAACATAAATAAAAACAGAAGTCTAAGCTTGATACTGAAATATTACAAGCATAGTTTCTCAAATTATAACAAAATCATTTTATTTATAGCCTATAGAAAAGTTAGTCTGGAGAACAGATAGATTGATAGCTAACATTATCAAAGCCATTTTGATGTACTGTTCCACTGAAATTTTACCTTCATGTATAGCTGAAAAGATTAACAAAGCCTTACTATATCATCGTTGACAAATGGCATAAAGATCCAACTAGCATGATAACAACCTCCAAGTAGAAGAGGAACCTATTATGTAAGACAAAAGAATGTCACTTCTCTAGAAATTAATATTTGGGTGACATAAGTGAGGAATTGGTTCAAGTTATAGACTTAGTGATGTTTAAAGAGGCAAATTTTAGATTGTATTTCTTTAGACATTAGAAACATAATCTACAATACTAGGTGTACTAATACATAAGAAAAAATTCATGCCTTGAAAAGATTGACATATACTACATTAAAGGTGCAATGACTTGATATACCTGCAACATATCTTGGTGTCTTCATTTCATACCATATTGATAAACTTTTTCACTCCTAGCTTGGATAGTGAAAAAGCATACAAAATACTACATCATGGTCAAGATGGAATATCTAGATTAATAATATAGGTACTGTATCAATTTAAAGATCACCTTGCACATAACAGTGATATTATGTAGATTTGATCTCTCCTTTTCCCCAAACTCTCTAGCAGATTTATTGGAATTAATTCCAGATTCACTGAGGATTCCATACTCTGTCAGATGAAAGAGTAATTGTAATGAATCAATCTTTCCCCTTGTAAAAGAGAAAAACCATATAGGCTACAACTTCACAACTTTTTTTAGCAATTCAAAAAATCTATAATGGGCAGTAACTACAGAGGAAAATATATGGGGGCTAAATAAAATAAATAATAATCACTCAAAACTAAGAGTATGGGATTATATAATTTCTTTTCATAAAAAAGCAAAATTATTTTAAAATTATCCAGGGGAAAATGTTAGCCCTTAATTCAGATATTAAGTTACTACTAACCTCATTTACATATGCTTCAGTCTTTATCTTTTCCTCAAAATTTTAATTGGTCATTTGCATATCATTAGCATTATTAGTCATACATTGATTTTCTGAAACCTTCTGGTTAACAGAGGAATTGAGCTGTAAGATAATCCCTACATTAGAAACTTGATTATGCCACAAGACCGCATATCTTTTTTTTTTTTCTGAAAAGCTTACATAGGGATTGATGCTAATAATTGCCTATGCGTGCATATGTAACAGCTTTCTCTTTACGAAAAAGACTGAAGGACATTTCAGACAGTCCTCTGTTGACAATCACAAGTGCAGTAAAGGGATAAAGTTGTGGGGCTTGTTTTTTCTACTCAAGGATAAAGTAAGAATCTTGAGAAGCATGGCCTGGTCCCAGTGCTATCTCACTTTCTGTAGCTCCTGTCTCAGCCACGATGGCAGAGGCTGCCCCAGTCTGTGTAGCAGTTTGGACAGTTCCACATTGTGGTCTCGGTAGTAGTTAGAGAGGAAACTTCTGGACTACAAAACAAAAAGATAAAGAAAATTTGAAAGAATTTATTAGTTCATCAGACAGGATCATATAGTCTACATCTCTTAAGGAATTCGATTACAATACAGATGTCTACAAAATATTCCTTATTTATCTTTAACTATTGTTTATTTTTTAACTTTTGAAAATTTTGGCACAAGTATAGCTGCTAAATAGAAATAGATTCAGGTGTGTCCTAAGTGGCTTATCTACCACTGTAGCAAAGGTTTATTGCAGGATTCGTGTTGACTACCCAGAGAGAAAACTGGCGACGGAACTGTAACACTAGAGAGAAATGAGGCAGGGATCCGATGAGGACACAAATCTACAGATATGAACAAGGTGAAAATGCATATCGTTCCTTGAAAAATAGGTCCTTGGAGTAAAAATTTAAAATGAACTTCAATAATCATAAGCAAAAATTGCGGGTTACAAAAATATAACTTGCCACATTACACAAACATTTTCTACATTCATGGAGGACAAAAATGTACTTTATAATCATTAAGAGCTTTCTATTAATGAAATATTATAAGGACTGTGAAACTTAGTCATTTTTGGTAATTTCTGTACTCCTGGTCAAGTTGCAGAAATGGACAGTTATTAGGTAAACGGTTTCAAAATGATAAAACATATCAATAACTTTATCTTCATGCCTAACATTTATTTATAAAGATTTCTGGAAGACAGAAAACGTATGATTGTTTGTTCTTTTTTTCATGTCACTCTTTCATATCATATCCCAATGAATATAGTTCTGTCTTTTTAGTCCAGTAGTGGAGATGAGCCTGTTCCCCCTGTAAGTACAAATGACAATGGCCCACAAATGTTTTCTCCATCTGATCAAAGCTCCGCCCTCTTTCCTGAGCCCTCCCTGATATTTTAACACAAACGTGTCTTTCTCCAGAAAATTCCTTTAGCAAATTTTGTGTACACTTTGAAAATGGTTTAAGACAACTGCATTTCATCTTGGACCATTTGCCAGCCAACTTGTTATGTTTCTTCCCTTAAGCCAGATTGTAAACACTTCAAATTTGAGATAAGATACTTACAGTAGTAGTGAGAACAACACATTGATTTTTTTGCAGATTAAAGTGATTCTGAAACCCTTTTTAGATTATCGAGTTCAGAGTTGTACTTTAAGGACCTTCTGGTATTTCTGCATCCATAGTAACATGGGAACCACTTGCATCCTCCCTTTGCTCACCTTGTCTTAGGAGAGGTACTCATGACATCTGGCAGAGCGGATTGCTGGCTGGATTCCCAACCCGACTAACACGTCCTCACTTTTACTAAGCCTTTTTCTTTTGCCTTTTTATAGTTGAATTTGTCATTGTTTTGTGTATCCTATTATAAATCATGGACCACAGCACATTTATCTGTCATATAATAAATCTGGTTTCATAGCTATTTGTTCCTTATATCTTCTCCATTACTTAGGTCTGTGTTATGTATGATGTAAGCACTGGACATATGTGTTGAAGGCATAATAATTGTGCTTGTGTATTTTATCCCAAATCATTTTTATTTTTGCTAAACAACTTAAGATATGATTTGCACATTTGAAAAGTAATTACTTTTGGTAAATATTTATATTTGATTTATATTCCAAGAGGAAAAAATTTCTATGAATATGTAACGATCCTTTACCTATTTCTATCATCTTTTATATGCATAAGCTATTGATTATTGAAAATGAAGCAAATTTCTGTTACAAATTTATTTATTTATTTATTTTTGGTACTGGGAATTGAACTTGGGACCTTGTGCTTGCAAGGCAGGCACTCGCACCACTGAGCTAAATCTCCAGCCCTACAAATTTAAAAGAGATGTGTGCACAGGTATTTGCCAGAATGATTTAGATTAGCAAAATAATACCTCAGGATCCATGGGTGGATATTTTCTGCCTTTACTTCTTCCAAGGCATTTTGTCTTTCCTCCTTCCAAAAGCTGACACCAAAAGCCCTTTTGGGGATCAAAACTACAAGAGATGAAACGTAAAATAATTATAAATTGGATATAGAATTTTTAGTGATAGGTTTAATTGAATAAAGAAAATACATTTTGTATGTGTAGTTCTTTGATTTAATTCATTTCTGGAGATAGTAAGCTTATTTTAGAGTGGCTAATTGAGATTAAAGACACCATATGTTTTGTATATTTTTAAGTAGTTCCACTCTAATGAAAATAAGACTTGTGAGTCTTCAACCCAATTTTTAGGTTGAAATTATTAAGTTTAATATTTTATTTAGGAAACCATAAAAAAATAAGAAATGGACACCAAGATTACAGTCCATATATAAAGGACTTATAGAACATTTTGTTTTCTCATGGGTATGATTTCCTGATAGATTTCCTTGAAATTATTCAATAGCATACTTTAAAGGGGTCAAATATAGATGCATTCCTCTGAAATAAGTATAATTAAAACTTCCAATTTGAAAAAAAGTTTTATATTCATTTTTACAATTCCAACTGTTGCCAGGCATGGCTGTAATCTAGCAGTAAAGAAACTGAGGCAGGAAGATCACCCAGCTTGAGGACATTCTGGGTAACATAGGAAGTTCAATGTCAGCCTGATCTACATAGCAAGACTCTGTCTCAAAAAACAAAACAAAACCAACAACCAATCAAAAAACAAACAACAACAAAACAAAAGAAAAAAAGAAAGTTTACACTTTTTGAAAAGGAAGTCAAAAGTGTAAAGGAAGAATTTATTATACTGATTGCAGACAACACAAGGCACAGGCAACACAAATGGTGAGTGGAGTAGAGAGCACTTAATTTCTTCTGTTGAAGCTAGATAATCCTATTGGATGATTCAGGTCTCCATATTTTTAAAGAAAATTATAATGTTCTTTTGCTCCCTTGGCTGCATGTAGTTACAATAAGAAAGGATGTGTGGCCTAATTATTTTCTTTAAAGTTAAATATATACATTTTTGTTTGGGACTAACAAGAGAGGAAAAATGAAAGAATTAACCAAATAAGAAGGGAAATTTTAAATGTATTGCTGTGAGACTTGCTTTATGCATAAAACATTGAAAAGGTTTGCATTTTTTGTTGTTCAGCAGATGTTTTAGAAGGATGAAGCATAATTGACTAGGATGTAAAGTTAATTAGTTGCACAATATTTTGTTGCCCTGGGCCCATTCCTGTAATACCAGTGCACCTGCAATTTGCCTCTGCACATATGTGGACTCATTTAGGGTGAGGGGGAAATTTTCTTCACAGTTCCCTGCCCAACTTATTATTAGAGACCTGATCCTGGCAGTTCAAGTTGTCCTAGAACATGTTATCAATTAAAATTAAATACATCACTAGTTAAATGGATAAAAGGAAGACAGAGTCATTTCCAACCTGAACTTTTCAATCTGCTCCTTGCCTGTCACAGTCCTTTCTTTAGTTTTTGTTAATTTCCCAGGAGGAAAAACAATTCAGCATGCTGTACCAAATGAGATGGGGAAGTCAGAATAACGGTGCCTCTAAACAGCATTTTCTGCCTCAGAATGAGAATGTTTAACTGCATTAAGGTGGAACACAGCAACAAAGCCAAGATATTTATCCACACCCTGAAAGCAAATCTTTTATTCTCAGTAGTACGGAGGTTTCAGAGTGGACTGCAGTCTCCCCTAACCCCCCATGGTAGCTTTTACAATGCAGAACTTTGGACAATCAAGAGGAAGGAGAGCCATCTAGAATAGTGAAATCTAGAATAGTGAAAATTTAAAGATAGGGTTGTCATAACCTTGAATACACATTATATATTGTTCTGCCTTCTTCTATTACATTGACAACTTCTATATACCCTAAGTTTAACAAAGGATATTTGTCTTCTCTAAGTTATATCAACTCATTGTTTTATGGTTTTATTTTAGTATGCATGAAATTGTGAAATTAAGACACAAAGCTGCTATCAAATAACAGACAACTTTAGGGCGTAAGTTAGTTGGTATTTAACTTTTATTACACAGAACATCACTATGGTTATTAATTTTTGTGATACATGAGATGTGTTAAAATCAATGTATTTGTACTTGTTTGTGAGCTCTCCTTCAACAGAATGATTTTATAGGTTTATTGAGCCATAAGCAACTATTTGTAGTCAACAGGACAGAATGATTTTCTAAACTACAGCTGAGAGTTGGGGTAGGCGTGTCCATATCAAAGCTATTATAGCAAAACTCATTAGAGGAAGCATTGTCTGCTTGTATGCCTTGTGTTGTTATTTTCATGTTTAGGTAAAAACTTCATTAGGGTTGTTTTAGTGGATAGGAAACAACCCAATCTTATTACTGCTTTTCCTTTCCCTTCATTACCCCCTCTAAATGTCTAATTGCTGAGCCTGATCTGCTGTGAACTGGGAAATTATATAATAGGCTTGTTAGAATTTTGTCTGAAATTTAATGGGCATATATCAGGCCTTTTGAGAGAGTCTTTTATGAATAAAATGTATGCCTTTTTGAAGTTTGTTTTAGGTGCTTGCAGGTTTTATTTTTTGTTATTTTCCTTCCTTCTTTACACTTTTCCCTCATCTATTTTGTTTTGTTTTGTTTTTTGTTTTTTGAGACAGGGTCTCACTACATAGTTGAGGCTGACCTGTAACTCACTATGTAGCCCAGTCTGGTCTCAAACTCACAGTGATCCTCCTGCCTCAGCCTACCGAGTGCTGGGATTACAGGTGTGCACCACCATGCCCAGCTTTCCCTCATCTTCAATTGTCTGGATATATAGTTTTATTTTCCCAAGACGACTGCAGCAATATCTCCTAACCCTCATCCTCTTGTGTAGGATGATTCTCATTTCCTGCCCTTGGATTTGGACTGGCTTAAGTGACTGCTGTAACCAATGGAAGGCAGTGTAAACAATGCCATGTAACTTGTAGGTCTAGGTCAAAGACTATGATTCTCTGGGACTACAGGCTCCCTTGGCATAGCACTCCGTTTTGGAACATAGCCATTACACTATGAGAAAGCCTGGTATCATATGGCAGAGGAAACATGGAGAGGAAACTCCTTTGATTAAGGAGCCAAATATCTAAGTAAAGAAACTTCCAGATGATTTCAGTCAATAGTCATTTGAATCATACTCAGAAAATCAGGTCTTCCCAGCTGTGGCCTTACATGAGCAAAGGAAGCCTTCCTTGCTGTACCCTAATTTCTGCACTACATAATGCATGAACATAGCACAATGGTTGTCATCGTACTCTGGTAGATTTGGCATATGTGAACAATACAACAGTAGAATATTGGAAAGTATATGTTATTCCATTTGATTATAGATAATTTATAAATATAGAGTAAGCATTGAATGTACTTCTTTCCTCATTATTCCCCAAATGCTGATCACTTTCAGAGGGAATGATGGTCATGGGTACTTAATTTCTAACTTATAAATTACTAAAAGAAAGAGACTGTGTCTTTTTCACCTTTGTAACTTCAATTTCTAGGATACTTTCTGTACAAACAAGTGTGCAGAAAATTTAGTTAACCAAATTGATAATGGAAAAAAGCTGACAAATAGGAGACCTTACCCTAAGATAATATATCTGTGATATTTTAAAAGATAAAGCGTTTCTCATATTCAAAGGGGAGACACTACATGAATAATGATATTTCTTCGCTTTTGAGTAGCAAAATGATATATAAATTCACAGCTAGTATTAATGATGTTATACGCACACCTACCAGTGATAATTTATGATGGCAAATAATGGAAAAGAAGCGAAGCATGAGAATAGACTCACGTTAGTGCTTCAGAGTAATTATAATGAGGTGTAACTCCCAGAAACTTCTGGACTTCATCCATCACAGTAGCTGGGTCAGATCTCAGCTGCTGTCCATCAATAATTAGCAACTGCAAAGTCAAAAATAGTCACCTTATGAAAACCAAAACGAAATTGAATGAACTGAGCTGCCTCCCTTGACCTGGTATGGCATTAAATTAATTCAGTTTGAACAGGAAGAAAATGCACACTACTTAGAACACAGTTGTTTACGATTCTTGCATCCTTCCATATCAAAGATAATTAAGGTTCACCATAGGCAACTGTTTGTGTCTGTGTGCATTATTAAGTTAAAGCCCCGAACTTCTTTTTCTCTAAATTAGAAATAAAGATGGACTCTCTCTTGATTTTTCCATCTGTAGTGTGATTAGATAACTATCCAGCCTACCAAATCCCCTGAGCTAACCTTTGAGACAGGGACTTAGAAATAATGGCCATTCAGATGATGATCCATCTGTTCTCCCAAACCATAACAAGAGATAGGGGAAAATGTTGGTTCCTGACCTTATGACCTTGGTTCATTACCTTAGAATATCAGATTTGCCTGAGGGATGTTTAATAAAGAAGTCAATGCTGAAGTCCACTTGCTGAGGCTTTAATGTCTCTTGAATGATAATGAACACTTATCTTTCCTGAAATCTTTTTTTCTGGTTCTATCCCCTGTTACAGCACTTCTCACCATAGCAGACTAGTACATGAGCTCTTTCCATCCTTAGAGCGGTTCCACAACACAGACAGCAAGCGGGTGTCTGCACCTTGCACCTTGCGTGGTGCTGCGTACTTTGCCCAAGGAACTGTTCTCCTAGTCATTGATAACTGCAGCCAAAATTCATGTGACAGTTCTTTTCAGAGAAAGTCTCACTTTAAGGCCAGCTACTAGTATAAAGAAGATCCCAAGAATGTGCTTCAAAGCCATTTAACACTACTTTAATAAAAATGAAATTAAGGCAGGCATGGTGGTGCTCCCCTGTAATCCCAATGCTCAGATACTGAAGTAGGAGGATCCTAAATTTGAGCCAAGCCTAGGCAAGTTAGTGACTTAGTGAGACTCTGTATCAAAATAAAACGGATTGGGGATGTAGTGGAGTGTGAAGGGTCTAGGTTCAACCTCCAGTATGAAAATAATTAGTGGAATTAAAAGTGTAAAAATCCATATTTCTTCTTTCATTATCATTGTCTCTGATGATAAATTGCTATCTGTGAAAATGCTGATTCACATTTTCTGTTTGTCAGCAAGACACGATCGATCATGATGTAACAAACAGTAAACGATAATTTCAGGGCATTACCTGAGAAGTAGAAAAATAGTTTAGCCATCTTTCAATATGGGTTGCATACCATCCCGGTACAAGGCATCTCCTCTGCAAAGTTTTTAAGTCAGATGGGGCCCAATGTCCTGTTGTAATAACTTCATAGAAATTAAACCTCAAGGCAGCTGGATCTTCATGTGATCTCTGGTGCTGCAAACAAGAATATCAACTGTAAAGTTGTCATTTGAAATATTTGTGGAGGTATGTGTCTACTTCACAAAATAATGTTAAAAATTAATTGCTCTTAAAAGACAATAAATCATTTAATAAAAACCACGTGTGTTTCAAACGAGCATTGATGCAATGCTCTAACTTTTTTAGGTAAATATTTTAAAGCCTTCTGTATATATCCAGGGATATGAAGATAAGACTGTGATTGGGCTGGGGATTTAGCTCGTGGTGCTACCGCCTACCTCACAAGCACAAGGTTCCGAGTTCGACCCCCAATACCAAAAAACAAATAAAGATTGTGATGATATTTATAGCTAAAATGTTTAGGTTTAAAGCAGAGACAGAATGAAAGATCATTCTTCATGTGTCTGTCTACCAGTGAAATAATGTCAAGGAGCAGACAAATCAAGCTGGATGAAAAAAGATTTAGATAGGCAGGAGTGTGTTTATGAATTACTTGTTTCATTACAACTCCTACAAGGTCCCGACACTTCCTAAATTTCTCCATATAGCAGATGCTTAGGTATGAGAAAGCAGATGTCTTTCCTAATGCTTGTTTAGCTGTCATGTTCATGTTGCTGTTGCCCATGATCCTTTTGTTTTTCAACTAATGCTGCTAATTTCCAAATATAGCTTCTTTGCTAATTTCAGTACCAGTTATTTCAAGTCTTTCATACCAAGCCATCATTGGTCAAGCAGAAGAGAGCCCAACTCAATGAGAGATGAATTTAACATCAATGAAATTTAACAAGCATTTATTAGGCATCTTTCTAGAGCAAAGAGCAGAAATAGATTGTAGAGATTAAAAGGAATAAGAATGACACACTCATTGTCTTCAAAGAAATCAAATCCAGTGTGAAAGAGGCCAGAGTAATAGAATGTAACAAAGTCATATATTTGAATAGCGGTATAACTTTTCTATTTATGGCAACCATGCTAATGAAAGATTAGTTCTGACTGACACATGAAAGGACCTTTTACAGTGGCCAAAGTTATTGAGCTAAAATGTCATGAGAGAGATTTTGATAATTAGGAAAGAGCAAACAAATGCTGAAACTCAGCAAACCTTAGTATATTAGATAAGTCTGAGTGAGGACGCATGAAGTATGTGAGGTTAAATGGATTGGTATCATGTGATATCTAAAATATGAAGGAAATTTAGTGAAGAGTAAGGATGGAAAATATACTGGCACCTGATCCTATTGTATAATAATAGGCTGGGTGTGATAACTAGAAACAACATAAAGACAAAAAAAAACAAAAAACAAAAACAGTGATTCAAGCAATGGTGAATGGTTAAAGAGTAACTGGTAGTGGTAGGTTGGTGGGAATAATAAAAGTCTTCTCATTATTGTACATTTATTGACTTTGCTGAATATATAGATTGCAAAATATACTGACTTATGCTAAATATATACACATATTTAATTCACTTAATAAAATGTATTGAATTACATAACTTAAATAAGAATGATAAACACACTATGTGCATACACTATAAATAATGATTAAAAGCAGTGAAAATATGGACCTGTAGTTAATCGGTTCTACAGTGACTTATATCAGTTTAGCACCAACTTTTCTTTATTTTGCTGAACCTAAGAAGATTAGCATAAAAATATGACCAGGAAGTCACAAAGGGACATATTTTGTGGGAAAAATAGCACTTTAGTTCCTCTGCGAGGTCCATTATAAAAATGTGGGGTAGAAATTACAGTGGCAGGTGACATTCGTAGGAGTTTCTGAATTACACCTGCTGAGTTTTGGATTTATGGTATTTACTGAATGGACAGGACTAGCTAAGTAATAGGCTACATTATTTTGAAATGTGGAGCACTTTGGGGCCCTCTTCTCAGCAGTATGGCAATAAAAAGTACTATCAGAAAAATAATTCCCTTTAAACCTGTATTTTCAAATAATTCAATTGAAAAATTAAGCACAGAGAAGTACTTGCCTCATATAGATTTTATTTTATTTAAATTATTTAATATACATGAAAATCAGATTTATTTTAATCTACTCTAAATAGTGATAATGCTTTCTGCTAGAAAAATCTTCAACATTTGCTCCAAATATTTGAATTCAAACCTTTTAATTAAGGTGTAACACCTTAATGATTCTGGCATCTTTAAAAAATAAATTTACCCTAGCCTGATGTGGTGGCGCAAGCCTGTAATCCCAGCACTCAGGAGGCTGAGGCAGGGGGATCACTGCAAATTTGAGACCAGCCTGGGGGCTACATAGTGAGTTCCAGGTCTCAACTACATAGTGAGACCCTGTCTCACCCCCACCACAAAAAATTACCTTGCTTTGCAACATGAGTTTTTGTAAAGAGAGAAAAACATATTTTTTGTATCTTGTGGAAAATACTGATTCATGCATGCTGATCAATGAATCTTGTTTCCATCCAAGTATTGCATTGGGATAGCCAACTACTTTAATCCCAATTTGCAGTGTCATATTTTTATCCACCAGTAATGCATATTTATTGAAGACATTTTGAAAAGTAAAGAAATAGAAAGAAGGCAAATTAAAAATTTTTTATATTCCTAAAATTCTGTTTTAGTCTTTTATTTATTTTGCAATTGCATTAAGTGCACACACATACAAAATGCACTTATGTATTTGGGATTTTTGTATACATGCACTATTATCACCATAATCCATGATCACCTATTTTAATTAGGCTATTACTGCTATAAGCAATTTTATGTTTCTATGGTCGGATTCATTCCACTCATTACAATGATTTCAACCCACTTCCCCTTTTCTATTTTCAAAATGCTACCCCCTAAACAATTGGTCTCTTTTTTTTTTAATCAGGTTAAATCATTTCATATGTCTCTGAGGACAGACCATCATAGTCACCTTGATTTCTCTATGTCAGGTCTCTAGGTTTACCAGCATTTACATCCATCCTGTCTCCTATTCCTCAAATTTTAACCCAGGGCTTCTTAGGCAGATGATCACTAGTAGGATCTAGTAAAATGTATGAATTTGGATCACCAAAAGATGACTTCTTTATTTTTAGTAACCTCTATATGGAATTCAGCTTTTCCTTTAATTGTGAATGTGGACAATAAACACAATAATTCATGAATCTTTGATTTTGCTGCCATTAACAGTTTTTTTAATCACATGATGGTTTTCTTAGATATATAATAATGTTAAAATTCTAATAGCATAAAACTTGCCTTTAGAATTTGTCATTTAATGGTTTAATGAATACAAATATCACTAGTTTAAAAATATTCTGATAATTATGTTTTACTAAGTTGTGTTGTTCTCAATTCTATGCATCTAATTTTGTTTTATGATATATTTCTGTTTCTTCAACTATTTACTGTAGCCATCCTTTTCTGGAACTTCACAGGGTTGATTGGTCACTTTCTTTCCTGAGCCTTTAATTTTTCTTTTTCTTTGGAATTACTTCATTTTAATTCAAATTATCACTACTACTCAAATTTACCTTGAACTCACTTTAACTCCTATATAATAAGCCTATGTCTTTCTTTTTTCCTCCTCCAAAAATCACACTTTTGGAGTCTTTTGCAAAGACTGCTACTATTCCTTTCTCTCTGTACTTGATTCTCAGCCAGATCCACCTGGCTCTGTGGTGAGGCCTTCTTTGTCTTTCAATCTAATGAGAATAACTCAGGTTTTGTTTTGCTTGATTGTCTGATGTCTTGGGATCTCTTGCACCATCCTGGACTGCATTTATCCTCCTCTTGGAGACAGTGTCACCACGAGCCTGGATTTTTTTCTACTCTGGCTGTATTTGTTGGTCTCTCTTGCTGCCTTGTTCTCTTCTGCACTTTTCATCTCTAAACTTTCTCCTTAAGTGATTTCAATAGGTGTGTGACTATGGCTTCGTGTTTCCAAATTTCACAAATTTCTGTTTCCAGCTCAGATGTCATACCAAACTGCCAGCTAACTCTGCTGTTCCTTCCTGTTAAGGTAGAGATCTATGAGACATGGCTGTTATTTCTGAAGCCTTCCATTTCTCACCACACCTGAGACCTCTTGTGTCCTTTTCCAGTGCTTCTTGTTGCGTGGGAACTGACCATTACCCAATTGCCTAGGTTGGAAGGAAACTTGATTACTCTTGATATTTCCTCACCAACTTCTATTTATTTCTATCCCTAAACACTCCCCCTTTTATTTCCTTCAGTTCCTACTTAGTCTCTGACTAGGGGATCTCCATTTCTCAGCAGGGCTACTACACTGGCCTTTGCTTTGACTTTACTTTTACTTTGACAAATGAGTGGTCAATTGTCCTACTGCTATCCTTTCTTCAAATAGCAAATAATATACACGCATTCCTCCTTTAATGACTGGATTTCTGCCACTAGGTAATTAAATGAATGAGTCACTAAGTGAGGAATTGTAAATACACGTACATTACAATATTTAGAACAAAGAAATGGTCAAAGGAATTTCTAACTTGATTACTTTACTTTTATTTGTATAATTCTTACATGTTGTACCATAATGTTTAACATTGCATAAAATCACAGAATTGTACTATAAATCAAGCAAAAATTACAGTACTGTATAAACAAAGTGTACTGTACCAAAAAAGACATTGAGGCTATATCAACAAGATATACTGAACTGCACAAAAAAAAAAGACGGATCAAAAGTCTGAGTGATAGCTTATAAGTCCAAACAGTGTGCCTCAGTTCTAAGTCCACAAAGTTGTTAAACAGGTAGATCATCAAATGAGGAAAATCTGTAGTGCTTAAAAGAAAATCAGGTCATCACACTAGTTACCATTTTTAAAGGCTTTTCTATTGCTCAAAAACTGAATGTAAATGAGCTCACCTCTGAGATTCCAGCTTACTCCGGAAAGAATGACTATCATCAGGAAATCAAATAATAACAAATGCTAGAGAAGCTGTGGGGAAAGAACCCTTCTACATTTTTTGGGGGAATATAAACTAGTACAACCATTATGGAGATCAGTATGGGGATTTCTAAAAAAAAAACCCTAAAAATAGAAATTCCATTTGAGCCAGCTATTCTTCCACTAGGCAGGCACCTTTCCCAAAGTAATAAAGACATCATATTACAGTCCAGGCACACCCATGTGTACAGCAGCACAATTCATAATAGCTAAATCTTGGAAGCAGCCTACATCAATCAGCTGATGAATGGACAGAGAAAATGTGCTACTTATACACAACAGAGCACTACTTCGCTCTAAAGGAGGATACATTTGAGTCATTTATAAGAGAATGGATTTACCTTGAATCCATAATGTTAAGCCATTTACCATTTGCATATTAACGATACCTTCCTTAGATGCTAACTTTTACTTTTGTTTAATTTTTATAGGCCAATATTTTACATGCTTATAATTGGTAATGAAATATATTAATTCTTTGATGCATGTCTTTTTTCTGTGTTATGATTGAAAATCCTTGTCCAATTTGGTATGAGTTAAGTATTCAACTTTTCTTATGCATTGTTTTGCTTTAGTTTAGATATTTTCCACTTGATCCTTCAATATGTCTGGGCTTTATTTTGATGATTTACCATCACCTACTTTCAAGCTACCACTGAATTCTTTTAGCAGTATTTTCCCATTCTCATACCTGATACCATGAATAAGCTCTGTCTGAAGGGTCGATGAGGATGGTGATGATCTTGGCTTTGGGGACGAGAGATGCAGCTCGCTTGGGGGCATCTTCTGAATGGAAGTAATTAGCACTCTTCTCAAATAGGAAATCATTTGTAATGTTGGATGGAGTAGGGAAAAAGTTCATATACCTGAAGGCAGAGAGAAATAATTAACCTGAGATATTTTTTATCACCATTTTCTGATAAGAAGTAGTTTAAATATATTTACATTCATTTATACCGGTTTGTAATTACTTTGCTTTAAAGCAGTTCAAATAGTGGATATTCTATGTATTTTAAATGTGATAAAAACCCAAATATTATTGTTCTAATGAGTCATTTTGAGCACAGAAAGGAGTGAGATGAAATAACTAGGCTGATAAGGAACAAACAGATAATACTATAGATTTGAACCAATATTCTGTGCTACTGAAAGCCAAATCCAGAAATATTGTTTACTCTTGGCAAACAAAAATTATATCATCTTGCTTAACTGATATTTTAAAATAGAAATATGTTTGCAAATTTGAATGAAGAAATTCTTAAGGTAAGATTAAAGTTCACAAGACAGGAAGATGTGTAAGTCAAAATAGCTATAAAATACTAAACAGATTAAGGAATAGTTGTTCTCCTTTTTGACTTCTGCATAATTTGTGGTATGTGTAGCCATGTGTGCACATTATAGTCTAGCTAGAGTGATTAAGCAGATATTTCCTGCCAGCTGATCCTGTGGTGCCTCGGTAGGTTTACTCCTCCATATGCCGTCGGAACATTGTTCTGCATGTAGATTATGGAATCGGTATGTTCTGAGGTTAATTCAGTACAAGGCTTTAATTATGGGTGTAACCCTCCTTACAGCTCGTCACTTCTCTAACCCTCAAATGTTCTAGTAATAAATAATGAGAGCAATGAAGAATTCATATAAGACTCTTATTTTCCTCTTTGACATTTGTTATTATGTTTCCCAAATGTGGAGTGCTGAAGAATCTCATCTATATTCCTGCTTAGCAATCCGTGTTCCATTTGAGCTCACAGATAAGAGAAAATTACTGCTCTGTCTTTTATAGCTTGTGTGCAGTTCCAAAACTCCTTCAGACTTCGGAGAGTACTGTAGGGTAGTAATACTCTAGATGTAGAGTGGACGCATCTACTCATGACTGAGAGATAGATCTGCTTACTGGGATTGCCCTTACCTGACTCTGGTGCTAGCTGTTTATAAAAAGAATAGGTCTTTCATGGAGAACAGATATACGTGATAGAGACACACAAAGTTACCACAAATGTGCATACTGGGGAACTTTTCCTCATGTGAGATTTGTTTTATATATCAGGGAACTACAATTAAAATCAGGACCATATTTTTATGGCAAACTGGGAAATAGATTTAAAAAATCACCAGGGTCATGATCATGTCTAATATAAAATTTATTCAATTTTAGCTCATAGAAAATATTGTGACTTTAAAGTTTTCATAATTTACCAAGTGCTAATTAACATTTCTTCCATGTGGGTGTGTGACTAGAATTGATATAGTTTTGGAAATGGTCTGCTGTTATTTGCATGACAAACGTCAGCCTACATGGCAACACAATACACACTGTTTATGTGGTTAATGAAGATACATGTCTCACAGTATGAAATAAGCAGTGCACTGATTTATTTGTTTCCTCAAACATCACTGTGAAGACAAATTATGTGTTTAATAAAAAAATTAGGCATTGTAAAATAACAATGTGTTTAAGAATTTTAAATATTCTTATGAATAATTCTGATGAAAAATATCCCATAATGTTCTTTATTCAATCATATTAACTTCCCAGAAAAATGTTATCATTATTGCACTATCCAAATCAAATTATAAGCAACGCTGATTAAACACATCATCATTATAAATTAACTTCTAATTCACTGTGGTAGAGTAGAGCATAACAAAATTATACTGTAATTATGCAGATGCCATACATCTATAATTGCTGAGTAGTGGGAGAGCACGTGTTAATAATAGAGTTTATTTTTTGTTATTTTTTCTTACCAGTCAATTCCTTTGTGATAGTTGTTGCCATTAAAGAATTGAACTTCTTCAAATGTTTTGGGGCTGGGAAGATTGCTGATGATGGAAGGGTGCATGAGAAGAAATAAGTAAAGTGCAGTTGTTCCTATTACACAAAAAGAAGGTAAAGGTTATATGATAATAAAGGATGAGATAAAATATTATATTTTTGCTCAAAAAGCAATATTGAGAAGACAGTGTTTTCAATGTCAAACCATTTTTTTTTAGCATCCACTAGGTACATTTCATGTGGTAAAAATCCAATTATTCTTGTACTTGTCTCTGTGGCTCTATTTACCTAAGTATCAGATTTAATATTAGTATGTTGCCAAGGTATAGCAGATCTAGTTAGGGCAGAACTTCCATAATGATATGATTCAGTTTCTCTTCTGGAGTCAAGTGACCGGCTAAAGCTTGAAGGTTGGAGGACCTACATGTGTTACCTTCAATAAACTGAAAGTCTCCTTCTAGAATTGGGTCAAGTAAAGTGGTAATAAAAGATTATTTGAACATGGTGTGAGTAGCTGAAGGAAAAAAAAAGTAATAATGGATGTAGACATATGAAAACAACTAGAATGAGTGGCTCCTATTTTAACAGTGTGGCAAAAACTACTAAATGCCATAATGAGTGTTATTTACTAACTCAAAAAAAACTTTTAGGAAAATAAAAATTATAGAATCACATCATACAAACTTAAGTTTTGAAAACATGGAAAAGAACTACTTAAGAACTTCTTAAGAACCGAATTAGTCCAGCCAAAAATCATTTCAACTATGCTGGAAAATACAGGTGTAAAAGTTACCAAGGATAAGTGGAGTTAAAGAATCAATCTGATTTGCTCTTGAAATAGTAAGAGCTCAAAAAGTAGAAATGGGGGGGAACAAGCATTTTTCAGAGAGAGGAAATGAATTAGAGACAGGGTAGTAGCTGGAAGGGAACATGGAATCCAGAGAGTTTTTTTTTTTTAATTAATGCTTTTTTGTTTGAGCTGAGAGTTCCATAAAAGTATTTAAATTACGACAAGAATGCAGAGGGTCAAGGAGGGGTTTGGGACTACAAAAAAGTTGAGAAAATTGATAGTTCAATATTCTTGAAGTATTGGATACAGAGGGATCCATGGCACAGACAAAAGAATATTTTAGAATTACTTCTGAATATCCATTAATAGGTATTATACAACTTCACTCAGAAGTATGAAGAAATGTTTAATCACACTGATGCTAGTGGAATTATACCTAATTCTCTCCTGGGATACAGATAGGCAAAGCTTTTATGTTCTGACCCTTACACATCCATGCTGCTGGGAGCTGGAGGGCAGCAGGAGTCCTTCAACAGGGAGGAGAGAAAAAACACTTCCAACCAGGGACAACTGACATGTGGCTTCATAGTCATACCATCAGCCACAAATATCAAGACGTATTACCTCAAAGTGCATATATATTTATTATAAACTGTGTTTTCATGATTTTATCCAATTACTTTAATATGAGAAAAAGTCTTCAGACTTTGTTCTATTCTAAGAGAAACCTTTTTTTTTCCCTCATTGAGTTTATTGGTACATTTTAGGTATACAGTACAGTTACATTCACCATTGGGATCTTGCGCCTTTACATCTTTTAAATACAATCAGCTTCTCTTTAGTTTTCTGTACCAAAGAAAGCCAGCCAAATCATGAGAAGATAATACTGATAATGGAAACACTGACTTTCTGGAAGTTTTAAGACTAATGAATGATGCTTTGAGAATTATTGTGGCAAATTTAACCCTGTAGAAAACTCTCTTTTGCACGAGTAATAGTGAACTTTGACTCTGAGTGATGAAGGACGCAGAGCTGTTGGAAAGAACACAGGAAGACCATGGTTAAACTGAGTGCTCTAGGTGCAGAGCAGCCATCAGGTCTGCACATTTGTCTCCTCTTTGCTCTCATTCAGTGATTCATTTGCGCCAACAAGAATCCTTCTAAGATTCAGCAATGTTCTACCCTTCCCACTTCACAGCGATCAAGAGAACAGCAGGTTGAGGAGCCCTTTTGCATATCATGTTTACTAAAAAGAATGCATGCACAATGTTTAAGTTGTTGAGCGGCAGCTACATTTAACACCAGATTGTTAGCATTTATCCGTGACACCCTCCAGGGAATTTACAGTTGGTGGCAGTAAAGCTGAAAGCTTTTCCAACTAAAGAAATACGAGAAATAAAATATAACTTCAGATGTCTATGACTGAATTTAAAAATTATTACAATTATTTCATATTAGAATATTTTTGTGACACATAAAATATTAGCATCCAACTTCTTGTTTTTAGCTTGTTTTCTTATTTGTCTTGGGAAAGCCGAAATCAGCTAAGAGCTTTATCATTGCCATACTGATAGGTCAAATATTAAAATCTCAAGATATAATATATTATCTCATAAGTACAAACAACAAGGAGGGAAAACAGATTCATAGTTACTAACCTGCAATTTCCTAGCAGAACTAAGAAGCAATAATGTTCAATGACAAATGATAGAAGATATGTCTTTAAAATTTTCACATAATTTTACAACATGGGAATGTTCTATTTTTCTAGCATTCATTCTAAAGTTAGCACTCCTGTAAGGGAGTAGGTAGAAAATTAATGCTTATTTTAAACAACAACAATAAAAAGAGATATAACTGAAAATATGTGTTGCTTTTGTTCCCTCCCTGCACATGTGTTAATTTTCTATTGTAGTACAATTTATATTTCTTGTAGAAGAAGAGATCTCAACACCAATATCTAATAGCCTGGAAATTTTGCCCCAACCTTTAAAATGATCTACTTGTTGTACTACTGATATCTTCTTTGGGGCCAAGCTTATTTACTGCTCTGTACTCTCTGATGAAAAGACTTTTAGTCAAAGTAGTGAATTCAAAGTACAGAAACTCAGTAAAAATTTTAATTAATCAAGACATGAGCAAAGTGTATAAAACTGTCATGTACTGAAGAAAGTATAAAATATTCTAATAGAAATTGTCATCTCTGATGAAGTACCTTTCCTTTATTCTTACACAGATGTCCTTTCAGTGCATGAGACAATATGGAGGAAAAAATATCTGTTGATCTTTAGATGTATCAAAAAAATAAGTCTAATCCATAGTCATACTCAGTGATTATTGTTTTAACACAGACACACACACACACTCACAAAAATATGTAAAAGTAATCATGGTAGTGGCACTGAACAAAAATGAGCTGATGTGCATTTATATCTGTCCAAAGCACTTTTCTAGTTCATTAGAAAAAACTGCCAAAACCAAAAATTGAAATTCAGCTGGAACAATTGTGACAAACATAACATTTAAAAAAATTTAGCATATTGTCTAGATTTAAAATGTTCTCCCCAAGTCTCTTGTGTTTGGATTGTGATTGGATTACTGGGTGCTGTATCTGTCAGTGGATTCACCCATTGAGGAGTTCAATAGCTGAATGTGCTGTTGGAAGTGGGGCCTGGTTGGAGGTGGATTACTGGGCTGTGACTTAGAAGGGAGAATTCTTGATCCTGGCTCTTATCTTCACTCTCTGCTTCATGGCTGCCAAGGGTTGAGCATGTGTTCTTCTGTCATGACCCTTTGCCATCCTGTTTTTCCCTTGGAACCAGAGCTTGACCCTAGACTTAAACCATCAGCAAAATAAACTTCTTCTAAGTTATAGGTGCCCTGTATTGTATTACAGTAAAGGGAAATTGACTAAGAGAAGGTATGGGTTGAAAAGGTTTAAAACCTATCATTAAAGCATAATCAATTGTTAAGTCCAATCGATGGCAAAACTAAGGTCCTCTTGGGGTTTGTGACATAAAGATGCTTAATGGGGAAGAGAAGTTTAATAATGAACTTGCATGGATGCCTAATTTCATGACAAAAAACCTAATCCAATAATTCCATACAAAATGTGCTACATAATAGGAAAAAAAAAAGCACAGTTCACTATCCTTACCTGTTTTTTGTGGCCCAATTACAAGGAATTTTGGTAAGTGGTCACAGGTTTTCTCCCTGGACCAGATGTCTTTATGTCTTTTATCATCACATGGATTCTGCAAGAAGGAAGAATAACAGATCTTACTATGTGTTGAATGGTTTTCTTTATTCTTTAACAAATTTTCAAGACAAAATCAAGCTCTTGGCTGATCCCCTGGAGCCAGAAGTTAGACCCTTTTCTGGTTCTCTGATTTCTAAATCCTTTCCTTAATGAAGTGTTAGGCACCTTTCCTGACCTCCAGGGTGCAGTTCCATGTGGGATCAATCCTACTGTCACCTCTCCTATGGGGTGATCAACTAAGCCCTGAGTTACTGCTCTCTTTGTGGGTTTAGGTGTTATATCTGTAGATCAGAGGTCTTAACTTAGCCTAGTCTGACCACAGTTTCATAGTTTGATTTCAATTCTAATGTTTTCTGCATCGAAACATCTAAAGATCAGAGGCCAAATATTTCATTATTCTCTATTCAGTGAGAGTTTCTCTGATGAATATGTCTTAAAAATAATTCTTGATGAATAAGTTGTTTGTAGTTTTGACTCTTTTGACCATTTTGCCAAATATAGGTGCTAAAAAATCAGGCTTCTCAATATTTCTCTACAGTACAAAATGCAAATTTATAAAAATAGAAAATCTATCAAGAAATGTTTTTCATACTTCAAGTTCTACTGTTCAATTAAAGAAGCCAAAAAATAAACCTTCTATTTACATTACTTATTTTTTAACCTCCTCCATTACTGTATTCAAATTTTGTTTTACAAAGAAGAGATAAAAGGCACTAGAAGTAACCATTATTAAAATATTTCTCTCAAAATATTATTGCTATCATATTATTATCATTTGAGATGTCCTACTATGTTGTGCAACCTAGTATCAAACTCTGGAACTCAACATCCCCTTGCCTCACTCAGCCTCCTGAGTAGCTAGGAATATAAGCACACTCCACTATGCTTAAGATACTATTTTTAAAAAACATGTTTGAGAACAATTATCTTCTCCATATAACATTTAACTTTAAAAAAATAATGTTTTAATACTATAATGCCTATTTGTTGGAGTGACATTTTTACAGACTTAGTGGAACTGGATAATCTTGACATTTTGCAGAATCAAATGTTGCCCTCTTATACTGATGGCACGATGGTAGTTGGACCTGATAAGTAACACAAGACATGTCCTGTGGCTGTCTTGATAAGGCACACACAATTCAGAGGATGGAGGACAATCATTTGAAATTTCAGGAGTCTGCTGCTACCCTGAAGTTCTAGGAGTGCAGACATCTGTAGCACTCTGAGACCTCTTGTCCGTACCAAAGTCTCAGTGAAAGCACCAAGTTTTACTACTAAGAAGAAAGCACCGTGCTTGTTCAGGCCTTTTTGGATGCTGGAAGCAGCATATTACTGCAGTAAAGACTTGTGCTCTGAGATTTACTGAGTGACTCAGAAAAGCAAAGCCAGGGATTAGGTGAAGCTCAGGCAGAAACTACCCTTAAATTGGGTCATACAACCTGGCAGAATTGTTATACTGTAGCATCTTTGCCAAATGGAGTTTCTGGCAAGCCGCCAGGGATCAGGTAAAGCTCAGGTAGAAACCACCCTCACACCTGGGTCATACATCCTGGGAGACCTGTTATACTGTGGCATCTTTGCCAGTGGAGTTTCTGCAAGCCACTGAAGAGAAATCCCACGTATACCCCTAAGGTTATGCAGCATAATGTCACCAGAAGCAGCTGATACAAGCAACAACTTCAGGTATGTGGCTGGGCTCTGGAAGAGAGTGTTTGTGATCATGTGGTCATAACTGGTACAGGCACACCCACCAACTCTTAAAGCCAGATGTGTCTGGCAACAATTCACTGTAAGACAGCAGAGGTACACTTTGTATTCTGGGATTGGTCTTGGACTGATCTTTGCTTATAAGTGGTCTAGGTCCCTATGTCACCTGATACCTTTCTTCCCATGCCTCTTCATCAGCTATTTCTACAGTTTTGTGATAGGTTTCCTATACACTGCTCATAAATAAGGAACACCCAAGCTTGGTTTGTGAATGGGTTGACCCATTTGTTAGTAAAATTTTATGAACCGTACTGCATTATAGTCTAACTTGGAGGTGGGTAGTAGTTCTAAAATGGTGGTTCATGGAAACCTTCTAACTAGTAGAATTTTGGGCATCATACCTAGTCTTTTTGCCCTTCTCTTCCTTTCCCTTCCTTCCTTCCTTCCTTCCTTCCTTCCTTCCTTCCTTCCTTCCTTCCTTCCTCCCTACCTCTCTCTCTCTTTCTCTCTCTCTCTTTCAACAAAGTCTTATTTTGTAGTCTAGCTTGGCCTTGAACTTGCTATGTAGCCCCAAACACATGATCTTTCTACCTTAGTCTCCCAAGTGCTAGGACTACAAATAGGCATATACCACTGTGACTGTTTGTTTGGTAGTCTAGCAGTCAAGTGTAAGGATGTGACAAACTAATCAGTGGCACTGAAAACCATAGGATAGGTTGGTCAGGCAATTTGGAAATGCAAGCTAAGATTAGTGCTACTACTTTATAGGGAAAAGGCATGTGGATAGAGTTATAATAGTTACAAAAATTGTGTTCTTTATTGCACATGAAGGTACACCAGCAGCAAGCAAGTGGAGAAGTGCTAAACAACCACATGGACAGTGAGATTCAACTAGTTCCAGAAACCACTAGGGGTTAGAGTCTTTTCTCACCAACCCCATGCTGATATAAAAAGCTCATTAGTGAAGCAGTCATGGTCACAAAATAGTAACGATGCACGAGCCTCATTTCCTCAATTCTGCTCTAATGAGAGCTGTGGCTAGATGTCTGCCCTGAAAAAAACAGAGATATTTTCTAAGTCCCAGAAATAGTATTATCCTGTCATGTAGTGTAAAACTGATAATAGTAGACACTTCCATCCTGAAAAGCACAGTGATTCATCCAGGTAAGGCATGGCGCATATTGAAAGCATTAGTTCTCTCTCTCCGCCCACACAGTAGTGGTCATCACGGAGTGATGGGCTCACAGCATATCTGAATCATTGGCAAGTTATCTCACATAATATTGCTTCAGATAAAGGGAAGCACTTTCTGGTAAAGGAAGTGTAGAAGTGGGAGTTTGCCCATGCAAGTTACTGGTCACATCAATACAATCTACTATCTAGAAGCTCCGGTGATAGAGAAAAGTCTCAAAATAGAATTGAGGCTCCAACTTGTATATCTAGTGTATTTAATGCACTTTTTAAATTAAAAGCTATCATTTGATACTGTTTCTCCAAAGGATAGTATAGTTAAGTCTAGGCATGAAGGAGTAGATGTAAGAGTAGACCTGCTCACCATCATTCTCAAAGACCCACTTAGAGAATTTGTACTTTTCATCCCACGACATGTGTCTAGGGCTCCTAATTTCTGAGGAGGTGCTCTTCTAACAGGTGCATAGTAAGGGAACCGCTTATCTGAATGATGTAGCTGATGCCTGGGCACTTTGGACTCTTTGCACAAGTAGAACAGCAGATATGGAAATGAGTCACCATCCTTGTAGCTGTAACTGATCTGGGTCATCGTGAGGAAATAGAATAGCTGCTATACAGTAAGAACAGGGAGAATTATGTTTAGCACCTACATAATCAACAAGATTGATTACCTGGCAGCTCTATACTCAGCTTAACTATCAATGAAAAAGGATCTGATCTGATGTTTGCTGAACAGGAACCAGAGCAGAATCTACCACAGGGAGCTCCTTGTTTCACAAATTAAGCTCTCTATATTGAGGTGCAGGCCTTTCTTTTCTGTTGGATACACAATTCCTGGGAAATGTATAAGAAGAGCATTGAAGGTACAAACTACCACTATTGTTACTCTATTTGATCCTCAAACAGTACTTGAGTCAACAGGGAAGCCTTGCAGATCAGCAAAAGCATGAGCCAAGGGTAAGGGAAATCCAGAATCTGGGACACAGTAAGTAAGCACTGGCATTGGCTTTGGAACCAAATGCACCAATATTACAGTTTCCGACAGTGTCTCTCCTGTTAAAAAGCTTCTCCAAGAATTGTGCTCACAGAATAATGAAAAATTTGCCTGGATGGAATGAATATTATAAGAAATCATTGGAGATGAATTAGCAAAAGGAATAGACTGTGGCAATGCGCTTTTCTCTGCTGACATAATCCTCACTTGTGACTAACGCCTTTTCTCTAAACTCATCCCACTTCCAGCCTCTCAGCTGTTCATGGTCTTCAGCAGGGCAGAATGAGAACTGTCCTTGGCCAGCTGAGAGGAACTGCCTGAAAGCCAAGTTACACTCTGCATCCCCTTCCCACTCTGAAAGGCTACTCAACCCGTGACTACCACAGATACGAGAGACCCGCTTACCTCAAGGTGAATCAATTGTCTGTGACTAGGTTGTTCCCTGAAGAGCAAGTCAAGGCTAGATTTTGTTCTGACCTCAGCCAAGCTCAGAGCTTTCACTTTTTTTTTTATATGTTCATTTTCCCTCACTGATTTTTCCTAAAAGCACTTCCTTAATCTACCATTTGCTACTGAATCCGTGTCTCAGACTCTGCTTCTAAATAACACTAACTATGGCAGTGACATTTGCACTCTGAAATTAAAAGATATACTTGATCTAAATGTATTTTCTGTCCTTAGCTCTTATTGGAACAATCACAAAGTACAGTATAAAAAGACTAGCAAAGTATGAAGACAACTACATCATGTTACAATTTACTGTGAAAAAGATTAGGTTATATGTTTTAGATTTTTTAATGAAATTCATCTATAGAAAAATGCCACTAGAGGAATTAACTACAAACCAGTAAACTCAAAGTTTCTTTTTTATTTTATGTAACTGATATTTTATTTGATCATATCTGGTGTCTACATTTTCTAGATTTCTATTTAGTATTCAGTGTTACATCTCCATAGTCCAGCTTTAGCTTTACTCTCTCACTGTGTCAGAAAAGGCTAATGTAGTCTCATGTTCTGGGTTACAATGAAATATCCTCTGTTCTCTTAGCACACAGATTGCCAGCTACAGACGGTATTTCATAATGAACCTAGCTTTCTTA